TAATTACTACGGTAACATATTTGATTGGAGATATTGGTTAAAGGTATTGTAAAGCATGCAAATAAACATGTTATGTTTATTGCCTATATAATTATTCAAGCTTTTGCTCGTGACTTCGCCCGTATGAAATAAAAAAATAAAGCGTGTTACTCACTGGTAACGTAGCTTTTAAATAGTGAAAGAATTCTTAAATTCGGCCTAGTAGTTGATGAGTTATTTCAATAAAAGAATACAAATCTTTTCTTTTCATAATATTAGTATAGATTATATTCGTTATCCTGGTTTTCATCATCATCATCACCAGCTCACTATATGTCCCCACCGAGGGGCTCGGAGCCTACCCTAATATTAGGGTGACTAGGCCATAGTCAACCACGCTGGCCAAGTGCGGGTTGGTTGACTTCACACATATCTTTGAATTTCTTCGCGGATATGTGCAGGTTGCATCACGATGTTTTCCTTCACCGTAAGAACGTCGGGTAAATTATGTACATATGAAAATTCGAAAAATCGAAAATCACATTGGTACATGGCGGCGGGATTCGAACCCAAGACCTGTAGATTACAAGTCAAGTGCTTAAACCACTGAGCCACCGACGCTCCTCCTCCTGGTTTTCGTTACTTTATTATTTAATTCAATACACTGTGTAACCACCCTTATATTGATTAATTAATCGAAACGCTGAAACAGTTTACAGGCTTCGATTGTAATCATTGTTCAGAGGTACGGCAGTTTCAGGTTGTGAAAGTCGAGCTCTCATTGAATCAGGACTTTGAGTGTCGATAAGTTTTAAGTATCGCTTAACAATGTATTGTAATTTTAAGGTGGAAATAAGTGAGGATTAGAGTATGATAAGTGAACGAGAAAAGATTTCTAGGAAATAAATAATTTTATTGGGAAAGTTTTGATATTTTAAGTTTGAAATTTTTTAATTGTATTTAATACAGTCTTATCTATTCGCGATCGAGTTAATTGCTTTTCAATAAAATTGTAGCTAAAATGTATTTATAACAAAACATATAGACGAATTTAGTACCTCCTTCTTTTGGGAAGTCGGTCAACAAAGTAGCAGTTTTGGTATCCGCAGCGCAAGAGACAATAATTTATTCACAACATAACCTGAGAAGCAATAATTTTTTACATTACTATAAAATATACCGTTGTACAAATCAATAAAAAACAGACTATATACCGCGTTAGCATTTATTATTCAGATTAATTCGCTTCAGGAACTATTATAATATTAATAACTTTACCTTGTCTCGACGTTCATGTTTCAACAACGTAATATTGATCACATTTAAAATTCACAAAGGTAACGCTTTCATTAGAACTATGTTAGAACCTAAACGTATGAAACATTACGAGCCAGCCTTCACGTTGTTCATGTAATAGATGAAAAGAGTATTGTTACCTATTATTTTTCTATCGACAGCGACGCGCACCCTCAGGGTGTCCCGCAGCGGCGCGTGCCGGAAGTCTACATTGTGCTGGAATTGTGAACATCCTGTATAAACTTCAGCTAGTGGAGACAAGTGTTAAGAGATCCGTAACCTTTGTAATGCTGTTAGGGCGTGTTAGAGACTGTTTACATGGTCGTAAATTTATAATTCATTATTATTTTTAAGTTAACGATATACGCTTTCTTTCTGTACAAATTATATATATTTCATTTTTCATAGTATAGGAGTTTATTTTCTTAATTTAAAGACTTGAGTCCAATCTTTTCTTGTCATTCGGAGCGAACATAAGGTCGGATATGGCACGGATGCTTTTGATAAATTAAACTTTATATAAAATGGTCTATGTAATATATGTCGTAAATAATGGAATCGTTAGCGTCTGTTTAAACATTGTAATTGTATCTCGTAGCTTTGTCGACAAACGTCTTTGATGTAAAATTTACAATTCAAAGTCGATATCGTCTGCCGCATCATTACGCCATCTATTGTCACTGGTATTAACATAATTTTGACAGATACAAAACGTGGAATTGTTATTTGCAAAATAACTTACTCTCATATTATACACCCTTTTCATACAACGATAGGATGGAAAGAAGTGGATTTAGCGGGGAGAGGAAGTTTACATAAGGTAAATATCCTCTGTCCACCCACTCTTCTGTTAAATTGAGGCAAGTAACGCGTCTACATATGCGGATATCTGGGTAGCGGTCACTTAGCTATTTCAGCGAATTCCGGTGCCCACTTGTTATCTTTCTCGGATATCTAATTAAAATATGGGTTAACAAGAATTGTGTTTAAATTTTAATCTACATTTAACTTCGATTATTTGACCTTAATACCTTTATATCCTTTACAAGTTATCAACATTTTCTATAATCTACTCGTCAACCTTGTTCTAGTACAAGTTGCACTGGAGTAGATTAAGTTGCGGAGGTAATTTGTAACCCTGCGTTTACTAGCTAAACGCTCCTAAATCTTTCTCAAAGCAAAATACTTCCAGAAAAGGTGTGATACGATATTCTGAAATTGAAAAACTAAAACAACACTAAAAATATCAATAATTTAGATTTGATTCCCGGACATATCTTTCCTAACTTGTTAACATTCATCTTTATATAAATGTCCACAATTTACCAACCCTTCAATGGACATCATATACTCCGGTCAACTAAAAAAAGGTACGTTGCAATAATTTCTGTAAGAGTGCGAAAAGGCAACCACTGCATAATGTGAGTATTTTCTTTTTGAATAATATTACTTCAGAATACAAGGTAAGTGTATATACTATATGTAATACGACTGTACATTATAACTGTCAAAATAATATACAAGCACCAATCGCCTAATGGTTTGGGGTATCGGCTACAGATCTTCTGTCGAGGGTTCGAATCCCGCCATTCGACTATTCTCGTGAACCATATCCTTGCACAAGCCTAGAGCTTTGTTGGAGTGGTTAAAGGAAATGTTAGTTAAATCTATTAATGTTTTAATTAAAAACATATATATATTAGCACAATTTAAATGGCATCATTTTATTAACTATAAGATATACAAGGACACTGAGTTAAATATATTATATACAAAAGGGTTAAATACCTGTTTGGAAATACTAAGACATTGTAAAATGCAGATGGCATTAAAAAACAAGCGAACTTTCAAGTACAGTCGCCTTCGTTTACGATATTCCAGTTACGGAGAAAAATTTTTATACCACACAATTATTTAAATTCTATTTCTTAAATACGCGATAGGGGTTTTATCGGGCGGTTTGATCAATTAAAACATCTGTCGGTTATTGTTATTGTTACATTTTAAGGCGTAATAGGCGTTGAAATTAGTTCTTTAAGTGACTACCATTGAACCTGACTGTACTTATTTTTAACCATGGTATCGTATTGTAATCGTGCATGTTATTATTCCCTGTGTTCAGGAATGTACAGGTGCAACTAGACAATAAATGATGGACAATTTGTTATTGACATGCTTTCCTACTTAATCAAACGTTCAATGGCATGAACTTTTTGTATGGTACAATCATATTTTTATAGTGAACAGTCCCTCATAATCAGGAGGAGGAGGAGGGGTCCTCGAAGAAAAAGCAGGAAAAAGGGAGCTGTAGAAGTTTTGCCCAGGGCGCTTGTAGCGCTAAGACCGATAGACCATTTTAATAAATTCATCTATTTGCTATCTAATAATAATTTATACGAAATTATGTTAAGAAAATGTTTTAATTAATGTTTATTCGCAGAATTAATAAAGAAAAAACCTCGCCTGTTCTATGTTTTCTCTGTATTTTTATGAGGAAATTTCGTCTGACGTATCTGGGGGGCAAATTGGGTCCGCCCGATTTGTTCTTCCCTTATCCCGAATTTATAAGTTCGCGGAAAATTCCCTTTGATTCAATTTTCCGTATTTATTGTCAAAGAGATTTTCGTAATATGTTCGGTATTTCCGGAAGGAATGTGTTTGATGTCGGAAAATTTTTGTGTAACATGGTAGAGCTGAATATTGTTACAAGTTTCGGGTTACAAGTAAGGGGATGTAACAAATGTCTAATTAACTTAAGGTTTCAGCTAAGTTAGGAATTAAATAACGATATCATTTCTTATTTGACGGATAATTTTGATCAAAGGGTTAGTATGAGTTATCAATTTTTCTAACAAGAGTTGTTTAACTTGTTTAATTTTTAATTTTCGAACTTCAGTAATTGTGTGGTCAAGATTACCGAGAATATTTTAATGCCCTGTTCCTGTCCAATGTCGTAAAATTACGTTTAAAAATAATATGAAAAATGAAAAAAAGAGAGAAAGGAAGAGAAATCATATAAATGTTAATATAATTGTCAAAATGTCTTCAAACATCGTCTATTTTTATTTCGTCTACATACGACATATTAACCATTTACAGTTTACCTAGCTGATTTGTTTGCTTTGTCAAACCATTTGGTGCGTAGTACGGGATCTTATTCTGCCTTTGTCAGGAGAGTAATGAGGCGCGGGCATGTCTCGGCCCTACGCCCTAGGGCTGGGACGGGTGACGCTCGGCCACTGATATCTACGAATGTGGAATTCAATTTTCCCTTGTGAAGCATTATCTATTTGGTTCTCGATTTGCTTGCTCTTTATTCGGATAGAGGGCAATCGTGTAATTGTAAGGGTTCAATATAAAATTGAATTTCGATAGTGCGTTTGTTGTTTTTAAAATGTTTTTACGACCTGATAGGTCTTTACATATTTCCACTTAGTATTCCCACGAGAAGCGGCTTATTTCCCTTTATAATCGAATATCAATTATTATCTTTAGTTTTTCAGTGTAGTCCTGATGCCATTTAAATTATTAAATACTATACAAAAGGCTTTAGTCTTTTAGAAGACTAACGTTAGTCTTTATAAGTCAATAGAGTTAGCATATTTTTCTCTTAGTCATATAATTTTTGTATGTGTCCAGATGTGCCAGTGAGATGGGTGGGCCCGGCGCGGCAGTGGCTGGGGGG